TACTGATACAGATAACTATCCATAAAATTTAAAACTGGAATGTAGAATTTATTGTTGCCATTTCTAGGAATAGCTTTGTAGTTGAAATTTAATACAGCTCACAGGAATAATTCAAGTAAGCATTTCTTGTCCAAATCTGAAAAGAAAACATATAGATCAAGGCAACAAAATAATAATAAAAAAAATCAATCAGTAATCTTTTTTCTATACCCACATTTGTATAAAATAAGTGGGTTTCATTCAATTATTAATTGTTCATTTTAAATATTAAACAAGTCTGTAAAGCTGTAATATTAATTTAACATGTAGAAACATGGAAACTTTAAGTTTGTGATTCAACTTATTCATTCAAAACCAAATACATATAAATTTTGCAAGTAGAACACATGAAAATGTGTAGTGGAAAAACTGTTATATCGACATCCCTAAAGAAAAAAAAGCCTTTGGAGGTAGTATGCTTGCTGTGTACCATAGAAATGATGTAACTTAGAGAGTTATTATGAGAAACCCAATTGTACATTCATGGAGTATTAGCACATAAACTCACTGATAAAAATCACTGTGCTTAAATTTCACCATGCAGTTAAGAGCCATCAACTTATCAATAAGGCAAAATGTCTTTATTCATCACCAGTACACGTAAACAGAAAGTCTGCATGAAAAGAGAAGTCATCTGTCACTTGGAGGTTATATGGTTTTTTTATGAACTTGTAATTTTTCTATATTACTCAATAAATACTTTTCAAGGATTTATCTTCTAGTTAGAGATATAATTTTTAATCTACATGCTACTTTACTCTTCCTTGTGACAATATCTTTATTTACAATAGTGTTAGTTTAAAATCATAGAATGGTTAGGGTTGGAAAGGACTTTAAGATTATCAAGTTCCAACCACCCTGTTATGGGCAGGGACACCTCATACTAGACATATTTTCCTGCTAAGTTTATCATGATGATTCTGATTCTTCTCTCTTTTTTTTTTATCCTGAAAATTACTAGCAAGTTTTTAATACAACTTTTTTTCTACTTTGCATCCTCTCTAGCCTTGATTAATTTCCTTCTCATAACGTTTTGTACTGAATGAGTACTTACTCCTTTCTAGTCAACTGGATTAGGTAGCTCCTTTACAAATAACTGATTTTCCTTGTGCTGAGATAAAGGCCACATAAATTAGATGCCTTTTTAACTAGCCAAAAACCTACATGTTATGGAATATGATCACTTTGTGTTATATCACCTTTTGAGTTACTAGAATTGACTGTCTGTCATTCACCTGCTTTCACAAGACTAGAATGATCTCTGAGAATCAAACCATATCCCCTCATGACCCTTTTAAATCTTTGAGAATTCTGCAGAGTATCACACGGTTGCATACATCTGAATTTAAAGACTCCTAAGGCATAGAATAACATTTCTGGAAAGGAAAGAGTCCATCCTACTATATACTTGCTTGTTATACTATTGTCCTAAGCGGTAAAGATATTGGCAGTATATCTCAAATAAAGAATCAAAGCTTTTTCTTTGTTTGGTTTTTTTTTTTTTAATTCCACTAAACTGTCCTATTTTTAAAGGAAATAGTGAAGACTTTCCCTTCAGAGAAAAAGTTACTCATATGCAGTATAAACAGTTGAAGCAAAACCAGTGCTTGATTTCAGATTAAATTTAATTGTCTGGTGATGTAGGTATAGACTGAACATTGGAGGGAGTGTACTGCATGTACATTTTAATTTCTTGCTTTTTCTAAAAATATTGACATTAAATACTATAAATTATATAACTATACAATTAGATGTATGATTATATATGTGAATCTTTTGATTTTATGTAATTTAGACTCATGTTCTTGCACAAGGCTTATAAACTTTTATCATTTAAACTTGTGAGAAAACGTCAGTTTACCTAACCCCGAATTTCAAATGTAAGATAATGATAGTAAAACTTTATTAACCCATGTCTTTTCCATCTCTCTCATTATTCCAAATGCCCTTTATCTTTTTTCTTTATTTCCATGTTCTAAGTGTTTCTATATGTATAAACTTCATTTGGGTAATTCCTTACTATTGAGCTGGTCAAAGGTTTGCTACGAAATTGGCAAATTTCATGTATCAAGAGTAAGCTTAACCAGAAGCAAGATTAATTAGGTTGAAGTGTTGTTTTTAAATTGCAATAAGTCTCCCTTTGGTTGCTCTTATTTCAGGACAAGCATAATTGATAAAAATACATGGTATAACCAATTTTCCGTAGCCTAAGTTAATTCAGAGTAAGCATGTTTTCTGGAAAGGACTCTGCATGAGGATTTTTTCAGGAATCTTCTTCTTGGAGCGCCTGTGTATAGGCAGTGCTTTTTCAGTGGCTTTTGCTGCAAGCTACTTGTGTCATTCCAAGCGATAATGAAAATGCTAAAGGGAAGGTTTTGTTGTTTGTTTTTCACTCTGGGGAATGTTGAAAGACTACTAGTTTTAGCTGAAAATGCTTAGAAGATCTTATAGAACATTTTGTAAATGTTTTGAAGGCAAGTTTGACCAACTTATTTTGTGATGTGGTCTAGTGATTTTTAAGGGTCATGTTCTCAGGAGCTGAAGGATAAAATTAAATTGTCAACAAAGTTAAAAGAAATATTTTATTTTCTACTAACCATTCAGTTTAAATAATCTGCCTACCTTACCAATTATAATTGTCCTAGTGAAATATTTTGGTAGAAGTAATAATCCACCAAGAAGCAATGGTCATCCATGTGTTCAGTGCATAGACAATTTCCTGAGAGTGTATATGGTAACCAGTTTTACATTAGTACGTACTACAAATTTAAAACTTGAACATATGTAGAAGATCCTTTGCATGGACTTGTGCAGAATACATGAATGCCATGTTCAGTATTTAGAATGTGTGTTGCTTATTACCAGAGGAAAAAAAGAACTAGAGAAAACTTTGGGATTAATGAGAGCTATTACAAATGATTGCTAATTGTATTGTATTTTTTCCTTTGGCATTTATGCATTTGTCCCTGCATAAGTTTTATGTTCAGGGTTTTTCTTTTTTTGTTTTGTTTTGTTTTGTTTTCTCTTCCACGTGCCCTTCACATTTTGAGCTACATTTCACTTCCTCCCTACTTTTAACAGTTTCTGTTCATTGAAGAATTCATGTTTGAGTCTTGTTATTTTTCTACACTTTCTGTGTTTTGTCTTGGCACTGCTTCTGCTTGGTCAGTAGTGTGCTTTCATTAGGGAATTCTGATTTCACCTGAAAAACTTTTTTCTTACAGTTGTTAAATGTGAGCTATTTCATAACAATTGTCTGAGTTTATTAACAACTGATTTTGTACATAGTTTTTGTTCTTTCACTGTCTCTGCTAATCAAGAATTATTCAGCAATCCTTGTAATTTAAATTGCTTTCAACTTCATGTTTTACTTAGGTCTTTGTTCTTGTCAGTACTACATCTAGAAGAGCTCCCTGAGTAATTTCTATTGTTTGAAAAGTTTCTGTCAAAACATCCTATTGTTTCTCTGGACAATTTATTTCATGTTACATTCCATGTTAATTGTATAAAGATCAGTGGCACACTTTTTAAAAATATGGCTATATCCTTATTAATTTCAACAGAAGTAAAAATAAAATCTCAGCAGAGTCTTATTTAAGTAGTTTGCTTTATTTATGAAAAAAATTAATATAAGAGGTAACAGGAGCAATAATGTGTTCTGAATACACTTTTTTAAAAAAAGCAAGAGAACTTCCTGGTCTCTCCTTTGCATTTTGAGTAAGATTTTATGTGCTAAATTTCCAGTTTCATATTGATATAATGCTTAAATCATGGGACACCTCAAGACACATGTTTACATCTGGAATGCTGACAAATCCTTATTAAAGCTGTCAGATGCCTGTAGAATTAAGTGCTTTAACCCCAGTGAGTGCTGATGTGGAGGTTTAGGGCTCTATGAATTCTGTTAAGTTACCCTGGAGAGTTCATCTGATTATTCATTGAGACTTGTGTTTGGTACAGTAATTGCGTCTACTGTCATTTGTCTTATCTTACTTGGTGCTTATTTTCTTATTATTCTAAAAATGAAAAAAACATGTCTAACACCTGGCCAAAGACTGAGATGTATATTCTACCTACCAAATAAAACTTGAATATTGGTTTCATATTGTGGTGGAAAATTATACCATTTGTTTTTCACGTTTTTGTCTTTTTTTTCATTTGAGGAGGGTTATCCTATACTGAGAAACAGATTTAAAAATCTTATCTTTTGCTAAATGTTAAGTTTCTTCCCATAATTATGGATACTTTTACAGTTATTTTAATTTGTTTGCAGGCCACTATATGCAAAAATGTCACATTGTAATTTAAACTAAATATAAGAAGGTGTTTAAAGAAAACAAATTTTCATGGAATTTATGTCATGGAATTTGCTTTTTAAGTTAACTTTTTCCTGGTTTTGCTGCAGTCTTGTAAATGGCAGCCTATAACTTGAGGCAACAGAACAGTGGGAGCTTTCACTGAATTTTGCCTTCTCCTGTAGGTTTTATACACCTGACAAAGCATTGAGAAAACAGTTAAAATACTTGTGTAAAAAAAAGTGTAAAACATAACACTTAAAACATTTGATGTTTAGGGTCTGAATTACATTGTTGCAGTTGCCAAAGAACACTGTTTCCTAATTTAAGAGGCTTACAATGTCCATACAGACAATGCATTTGATTTTAATGTATAATGTAATTTGTTATGAAGCACATTTAAATTTAGTTTTCTATGTATTCCTTGAAGATATGTCTATAGTGTCTCAGTATCATTTTTTTCAAATAAAAATGACAAAAACTGTCTTCTGACTAACTTCAGTTTGAAGATAAATAAAGACTTCAGACAGATCTAACAAAAAGCTAAAAGGATTCTATTTTTAATTTCAGTTCTTTGTACAGGGAGTGCTATCATGACAGTGTACTACTTTAGATTAAAAAGTATGGGGGCACTCATTATCCACTCTGTCTTTTTAATTTTTATAGGAAGAGCCATATGTTATGTTCAAGAAGTCTGACAAACCCTTGTACGGAAATGATCGATTTGAAGGTTATTGCATTGATCTCCTCAGGGAGCTGTCTACTATCCTTGGATTTTCCTATGAGATTAGACTGGTGGAGGATGGCAAATACGGAGCTCAGGAAGATGCCAGTGGACAGTGGAATGGAATGGTTCGTGAACTAATTGATCATGTAAGTTAACTTTTGAAGCCTTTATTATCAATTTGGATTCCAATTCTATCTAGACATTTTGTGAAACTTTTATGATAATGCCATTGGAACAGTACTGTTTTGGAGTATGCAGCTTTTTAAAGAAGTAATGCAAGTAGATTCACACCAATGATTTCTTTCGTGTAGAATTTATTTGTAAAACAAAGACTGTTCTGAATCTCTATTTTGCCTATAGGCAGCATTTGTTTCTACCAAACTGGTTTAGCTCTTCCATGGCATATGCCTAAGTCAAAATACGGAATAGACAGTATTCAGAATTTATTTCTGAGAACAAATATATGATTTTTGTGACAAAACCTACATCTTTTTTAATCAATAGAAGCCAGGCTTCTTCTTCTGCTAGTGGATCTGAGACTTTCTCATAGAGAAATTTCTGTAGGGAGTGTTAATACAAATTATTTGATATATAGCAAGAAGAGGACTATCTTTCTTGAAATATTATCAATAAAGTGCAAACAGATCTCAACATATACTGAAGCAGCAAATTAATGCAATGTGTGTCAAAACAGATACCATTACAGTTACTTGTGAATGAGTAAGACAGGGATTACATCCTGTCCTTCAAAGCATATGTCCCCAGTTGGTCATGCCAGTTAAATTCAGTTTCTTGGAAACATTTTAGTAAATTTGAAAATTATGTCATTGTCCCTTTTTGCATTTGGGCAAATTGCTTCAAATAGAGACATTTGGTCAAACAGAGATAAAACATATTCTGCACGTCACTGTCAGAGAGGAAGAAGGGGAGACACTTTCATAGCTAATTCAAGTGAAACCTCCTTATAGTGACAGAAACTGCATGAATAGCTGAAATGAAATAAAAATATTCACTAAACTTGTTTCAATTTGCTGTAAGATTTCAGCAGATGGGCAGAACGTGCTAATCAAAATATTCATATTTACTAGGAAGGTTATTATCTTCTTGCTTTCCTAGTAAATAATAATCTGGTATTGCTGTTGCAACAGATGTTGATTATGCCTAGCTTCACACTTCCAAGATGACAGCGTGGGAGTATTGTATTTATATTATCTTTAAATGTGTATACATATTATACCTCACACACATACATAAAAATCAAACATATTTAGCTAGACTGTCTGTCCATCTCTACCCATGCATATTTTCACATATGTATAAATGTATAGGCATCCATTGCTGTTAGATTTGATGGTTGTTAAATACCATCATCATCTGGAACTAATTTTCAATGATTGGGGTGGATATTGTGGAAGTATTTCTTATATAATTCTTCAGAAGCAATGAAAAATCACATTTTGGTATGCTTTTATTATTCAACCCTAAAGCTTTCTTGCACAAGCACTAGTATGGCTTCCTAAGCTTTTCACAGAGATAATTTTGAAATAAAATGCATTTGAAGAAGTTGCAGCAGTTACATATGTGGAACTGGAACTTTTCCAGTCCTTTCCTCTTGATAAAGCAGGTGTGTGTTCCTTTTTCCCATAGATAGCATATAACTTAACTTAGATTAAAATTTATTTTGCCTTTTACTTAGGAGTGAAAAAAGGTTATATACTGTGCTAGTACATAAATGTAAGATGTAATCTAATTTCTTAACTGGGATCATAACTTCTACTAATCTCAGTTTCTCAATTTTGAAGCTTTTCCTTTAAAATTTTCTCTGGTTTTATCTAGTCTTATTTTGAAATCTACTTGAATACATGCAATTTATTTATGCATCTGTGCCCTTCATTTACATGCATGTTATTGGTACATTTTATTAGCAAGTCACATTTCAGATGACAATAATTTAGAAAATTCCAGATATAGAGTTACCACATTTGATGTTTTTATATGGTTAGAACTTCACATGGCCCAGTTAGCTTAGCTTTTCAGTCTTTATTTTGCATTATTTTTTAAAATGTTTAAAAGGTTTTGTTTTGTATAAAGTGATTTAACAGACTCAATTGCTATTTCTTTTGGAAAGGTAAAATGATTCTGTTTGTGTTTTTCAACTTGAGTTCCTAATTAAAATAGACTACAGAATAATGACAAAGTTGCCATAGTACTTAAATCTGTTTGAAAAATATTTTTAGAAATTATTTTATTTTGATCTGCTTGTTATATTTCAACTGTTGGTCACTTAAGTTCAGAAAGAAAGGATACTATGCTGTAGTATATAACTTTACAAGGGTAGTTTGTAACATTTGCAGTTCAAGAATAAATAAAATGGATAATTTTGGTATATTGTGAGTGTTGAAAGGAAGATGCACAATTTATATAAAGATAAAAGTACCAAATAGAATTTAAATTTTTAAACAAACTGTTTAAATCTTTGCTTAGTGACTTTAAATAACTGCTTGGACTCAAAAGTATAAAAGTGAAATTAAGGTAATGTTATCTGAATAGATCTCAACATATCATGTCAGTCTCAGGCTTGAACATCTATACTGTGAACAAAGACTGAAACCTTTACTTCAGGTTCTGTGTGATTTCAATCTCTTTTCACATAGTTTACTTGCATTTCTTCTTTCTTTCACTGTTTTACTCAGTGTTCACATATGCCATCATTATGATATTGGTTTCCAAACAATGACTAGTTTCCTTCTGATTAAATGATAGATACTTAAAAATCAGTTCAGTGATTCCTTCACTTTAACAACTGAATGATAATGAATTTTTGTTGGAAAAGACAGTAGTCTCTCTAGCTGCAAATGGAAAAGAAATATTCACAACTATAGATACGATTTCCCTATGGAAATTCAATTGAATTTCTCCAGTTAAACAGCCTAATTTCTTTGTCACAATTTTCATTCAATATTTTACCTTCATCTCTGGTTAATTCTAGATAAGGGTGTTAGATATTTGGCAGGGAGCTAAAATTCAGGTATCTCCATCCTTTAGGGATGCATTCTTCAAAATTATTCTTTATACTGATTTTCTGCCTTTGGTTCAAGAACTTTATTCAAGGATAGATTTATTGAATTGGTTTTGAACTGAATGATAAATTTTGTATATTTCAGGTTGTTCTGTGTTGATGAAAGTTGATATGGCACTGTATTATATTGTATGAGGTATATAGTGTGTGTAAATTGTGTTGCCCTATAGCTAGCAGATACTGAAAGAATAAAAAAATATAATTTTGCTTTTTTTTTTGTTGAACATTCTACTGCTCCAAAATTACTTCAAAACATACTTATCATTGGGTTCTAAAAAAGGCAAAATTTACTGGTTTATACTTTACCAGAGATATAAATGATAATGAAAAATCCACTGGGATGTAATTTGTTATTATTATATACCATTAAAAATACATTTTTTTTCTTCCTGCTCTTTGTTTGAATGAATCGTTTTGTTTGAATCTCTTTCAGCAAAAAGCTTATGTAATAAAAATAGACTTTAAGGCTTGCAGATCTTTTATGATTCATAAATAATTACAGAAAAGGGTTGTTTTTTAGATCATGACTGCTCTTTTATTATATGTGAGGATTAAACTTTTCTTTGTGCCTCAGAAGAGTAGGATTTTCAGCTTGGAGGAATTTAAGAATTATGTAGTTGAACAATTGGAAAGCACTACTTAATTTGAATTAACTTTAGACATAACTTTGTGTTTTACTTCAGTATCTTTTGAATTTACAAAAATCAATATTTTACTAATAAATGCTTACATAAAAAATGTTTACATTTATAGAAATAGTAGTGGCCTTTTACCCTCTTAACCGAACAGTTTAAGATGTTTATATAATCAGTTTAAAATGTTTTTGGAGACATCTTCTTCCAATAACTCGTTACTTTTCTATCCGCCTCCACAATTTAAGGTCTAAAAGGACCAGAGCCAAGTTCTTTGTATTACTGTGTAGAAGTAAAAAAAGGCTTCCAATAAGCAATAAGGTTGTAGAAGTAAACAAAGCTTCCAATAAGGGAAGTTGCTTCCTTTCAGAAACAAAGAAAAATCTGTATGAGTAAAAGAATTTCAGTTTCTTCCATCTCTTTTCTCTTCCTTCACTTTTCAGATTTAATTTCATCACGTTTGGACTCTTTTTCCTTCATACTTACAACAAGTCTTGCCCTGTAGAGCCTCATAAGGAAAGGCTAAGGAGCTTCTCTTGCCTCTTCTTTCCAAGGATAGATACAGTTTTCCTTCATGTAATTTTGAAGCAAAAGGTCTGAATAAAATGCAGGACAGTTTAGCCATGCCTCTTTCATTAATCACAATTTCAGAAAATTTGACAGTAGCAGGAGTTAGAGACTCTTTAGAAGAAAGAAAGATCAAGCATTGTCTTTTGCACTAATGCTGTACTTGCCGGATAATTAAACCTGTGGTCTACTGGTGCTTTTAAAAGCAACATATCTGCTTTATGGCTGCTTCATTATACTAGTGAAAACATTGGTCCAATGTCCATATTTTCAAAGTCATGTATAACACCTAACTTATTGACTTATTTTTTTTTAAGTAATGCTCCTAGATTAAATGACACTCATATTCTACTACTTATTGAACATTATTGTTAGTTCATTGTCAAAATATTTCTATATAGAGGATCTCTGGATTGTAATAACTTAATTAGCAATAATATTTTATATCAGACAGAATGATATCACCTCCTCCTTTCTGTATTTCTAGAATGACTTACTTGTTTTTTGGAAGACTCTAGATTTTTGCTAAGGACTGCTGTGCTTGTCGTCATCAGGTTCAAATTATACAGATGTTTCACAGGACAACCTAGCTAGTAAACCAGAGGCAGAACATCAGTAGTGACTTCAGAAATGTGTTTTGCCTTATTTCTCTGTATTTGGAAAATTAAGGACTTTAACACAGTGGCTTATCTCTCTTCTTTTGTGGACAATATTTAGGACTGTGAACAGTCATTCATTTCATATTTATTTAAAAAATATAGATGTAATAGCTTAAACAGATATATCAACTAAGCAAGCATTAAAAAAAAAAGAAAATGCCTGAAATATGAGACAAACGGAAATTCCAAAAAAAGATTCTCCTGAGAATGCCTTTATATATGACATTTGAGTGCACTTCTGATAAGTTAAACTTGTGCTGATAGAAAAACAGTGAACTAGTATTCTAAGATCTTACTTATGAATTGCAAGAAGGGTTTCAAACCATTTAGGTCTTAAGTTTAGAACATTCTCCTACATTGGAGAAAGGTCTGAAGAATGATCTGGGGAACTACAGGCCTGTCAGTCTGACCTTGGTGCTGGGGAAGGTTATTCAGCAAATTGCCTTGAGGGCAATCATGCAGCATGTGATTTAAAAGTTAGCATACATTTATGAAAGGCAGGTCCTGCTTGACTAACTTGAACTCTTTCTATGACAGGTAGATGAAGGAAAGGCTGTGGATTATGGCTACCTAGAGTTTAGTAAAACTTTTGACACTGTTTCCCATAGAATTCTACTAGAGAAACTGGCTGCTCACAGCTTGGATGGGCACTATTCCCTAGGTAAAAAAACTGGCTGGATGGCCAAGCCCAAAGAGTGATGGTGAACAGTTAAATCCAGTTAGCGGCCAGTCACAAGTGGTGTTTCCCGGGGCTCTCTATTGGGGCCAGTTCTCTTAATCTTTGTCAGTGATCTGGGCAAGTTAATCGAGTGCAACTTCCTAACACCAAATTGGGTGGGAGTGTTTGTCTGCTGGAAGGTAGAAAGGCTCTACAGAGGAATCTGGACAGGCTTTATTGATGGGCCAAAGTCAATTTTATGAGGTTCAACAAGGCTAAATGCCAGATCTTGCACTTGGGTCACAACAACCCCATGCAACACTGCAGGCTTGGGGAAAAGTGCCTGGAAAGCTGCCTGGGAGAAAAGGAACAGGAGATGTTGATTGAAAGCTGTCTGGATGTGAACTGGCAGTGTGTCCAAGAAGGCCAAAAGCATCCTTGCTTGTATCAGAAATAGTGTGGGCACAGGACTAGGGAAGGCATCATCCCCTTGTACTCAGCAGTGACAAAACTGCACCTCAAATCCTGTCTTCATTTTGGGGCCCATTACTACAAGAAAGAAATTGAGTTGCTGGAGCACGTCCAGAACAGGGCAACAAAGCTGGTGAAGGGTCTAGAGCACAGGTCTTACACAGTGGCTGAGGCAACTGGGGCTGTTTAGTCTGGACAAAACAAGGCTGACAGGAGTTCTTATTGCTCTCTACAATAACCTTGACAGGAGGCTGTAAGAAGACAGGTGTCAAGCTTTTCTTCCAAGTGACAAGTGATAGGACAAGAGGAAATGGCCTCAAGTTATGCCAGGAGAGGTTTAGATTGGATCTTAGGAAAAATGTCTTCACTGAAATGTTTGTCAAACACTGGAACAGGCTGCCCTGGTAAGTGGTGGAGTCACCATCCCTGAAAGTATGTAAGAGATGTGTAGATGTGTGACTTAGGGACATGGTCTAGTGACAGCAGTTACCATTTCACCAACTAGGTTAATGGTTGGACTCAATGATCTTTCCAACCTAAATGATTCTATGATTCGATGTTGTAAGTGCTTTATTTCCATATCATTATTTCTATTTGAATCATGAGTATCATTAAAACTCCTTGATACTATCTTTTTGTTTTCTGCAGAACTTGCTAGTAAAAATCATCCAAATTTCAGAGAGAATTTGACTCTGAAATGAATCCTAAAATAGGTTGGTTTTGTTCCCCAGTTAAGAGAATGTACTGATTGTAGCAGATGTTATCAAAAACTTTTTTTGAATAGAAATTCTTTTGGCAGGTATTTTTCAAACAATTAATGATAAGTGAATTTCTCTTTGAAATTTGTTGTTCCAGGTTTGGTGCTTGTCATATAATTGCTAAAATTTTCATTATGTACCTCCCAAAGTATAGAGGTGATGAGCATGCTGGAAATGCAAGCCAGATCGGTTTCATGATCAATGAGTCTATTGCATTACAAGTCATTACCATGATGTACAGTGAAACAATAATCTTAGCCCAGGCCCTCCAGCAGATAAACACTAAACCAGCAAATACTGGCTGTAAGTAAGGTCTGACATGCTGAAACCCTGAGATCAAGCACAACAACTCTGAGAGCCAATAAATGAGCATTATGACGAGTGACTGCCTGAAACAATGAAGGCTTATCACAAATATGATTAAACACACTCTGGTCAGCTCTGTTATTGTCTCAACCCTTCGTGCCCCATGTTGGGCCCAGCTGGTAACTCGGAACCACGTAGCCGCTCACTCACTCCCCGCCTTTTTCCTCCCCCTGCTCCCGGAAGGATGGGGAG